CAGAGACAGTTGTAAGCACTGGGTAACTGCCTCGAGGGTGCTTGACCATTTTAACACAACGTGGTGCGATCATCCCCCTTGCGCGGAGTGAGGGTTCTCCACCCCGCACAACATGATCTACTCGACCACCATTATGGTTACCGCCAATAAAAAACCGAGGTAAAAGAAAAACGGTAACCTGGCTGCCGAGCTCACGAAGTGACTTAACTTGTTTCACAACGTCGTTGCCAAGCGACATAAACCCAACCCCGATGGTAAGCACCAGCGGGGGGCGGCTTGTTTTACAACGTCGTTGCCAAGCGACGAAAACCCAACCCCGATGGTAAACACTGGGGGGGATGACCTCAGAAGGGAGTGGAGAAGAAAGAAAAACCTCGTGCGTGGCCTTCCTGTGCTACCGACCTGGCTGATACGTCCAGAAAAACAAAAAAATCGAAAGAAAACAGTGCGACAAGACTAGCGTTCAAAGCTAATGGGACGGCACACGCACGCAACAGCCGACATATCTCGGATTTAGGAGAAATGAATCCAATGTATTCCACAGAGACTACCCGTGCAAGATATTTAACCACAGTCGAACGGCATTTGTTGGGAGTCTTCGCAGTGAGTGATTTGTAAACCAGGTTACCGTTGGCTTACTAGTTTATGTTTCCGTTGGTTGTATAAGATTGCAATAACGCCTGGCCCGTTTTGCAAAGCTCAACTTCTCTGCAGCACGGTACCAAAAAAATGGCGACGTTAGAATAGCAGGCTCGTCGGGGGCAACTTTCCGAAAAGTTCGTTTTTCGACAGTTCGACGTTTCGCATGCGCCTCCCCGTAAACGCCGTTTCTTCCTGACGTGAACTCTGCAGTAGATTCATTTTTTTTTGGCATTGACGGTGAACCCTATTTTCTCCCTTGCAATGATCGAGCTTTCTCTCCGGTTGTGTTGTGAACCATGACGGTATTCTACTTCTCGAAGGGTTAGTGAATTGTGAATCTCCAATTTCGAACCCATCAACGCACGCCCGTCTTAGGGGTCAACGATTTTTTTTTTTTTGTCTGAGAAAGGAGTTGTGCATGTTCTTGTTTATTGCTTCCTCCTAGGCATGACATCACGGCCCTGTGTGTAGCCTACCGTACATGACACAAGATAACACGCCCCCTGGACCGATTTCAAATGTCGATTTCTCAACAACAGACAGAGTCACGGCGCCGAAAACGGTGGCGTTGAAACTGTCTCGTCGAGAGCTTTCCGAAAAAGTTTCGTTCCGTTTATGCATCCTCTCCGTCGTGGAGTAATAGAGCTTTGAAAATTGGTCCAGGAGGTGTGTTATCTTGTGTCATATACGGTATTCGAAAGAGTACGAACCACGTGCAAGAATGGGGTGCTCCTGTCGTAAGCAGTGTGGTTTGCACTCAATTTTGCATAGCGCGAAAGCGAGGGTAACACATGTCGTGCTACTACTGCTGTATGGATTTTTTTAATTTTGAACCTGAATACCATCACGAGCAAGACCGCCTGTATTTTGTTTTGTTTGTTTTTCTCCCATCATTGGATTCTGTCGTCTGTCCCTCTGGCCCCTATCCTCCACTTCTACCAGCTAGACGACCCAACCGGGGTCACATAGGAGGGGGGGGTTGGACCCTCACTTGCGGTTCCTGCCTGAGATATTTTTATCGCGAGAAGGGTACGTCAATCCCTTCCCTCGCGACTCATGAAGTCGATCAAGTGTAATAACAACGAGCTTTGCAGTGCGTCGCTTCCAACGGAGACCAGGATTAAATTAGCGAGGAAAACTCACTCTGTCGGGACTCGAACCCATGACCTGGCCCTTAGCAGCCTACGAGGCTACCCACGAGACCACCGGGGCGACCGGGTATGTACGTGAGCGATAAAATGACGTTTAGACTCTCAAGAGTTATTTTTGAAGCTCCGAACTTGTTGGATTGATTCCTGCTAGTTGTTCTGTCGACGTGTCGCAGAACAAGGATTGTGCTTCCCCCCGAAAATGACCATGTTATTTACGACGTTCCCCATGTCTCTATTTTGAAGCAACCGCTGGCTCTCTTGCTCTTCGGTTTATCGTGTTTTGTCCCTTTCGTGTTTTAATTTTTTGTTACAAAAACACAACAAACCAGAAATTCAAACTGTTCGTCAGCT